TTTTTTTTTTATTTTTTTTTTTTTTTTTTTTTTTTTTTTTTTTTTTTTTTTTTTTTTCACACCTTGGTTAAAATATCTCATTGATAACAAGTTACTAAATTAAAAAAACTTTTCAAAGTTTTGTCCCCAGTAGCAAATAAATCCTTGTTTTGAATTTAAAAAATAATCCAATCTTCGTTTAAAGTAATCAAAAAATAACACAGAATCAACAAAATTTTCTATGAATATCGATGTAAACACAAACTTAGTAAACAAAATAAATTCTTTTTTTTTTAATAATTGCATGCAAGAACACAGCCTTTGCTACACGTGAACCCTAATTGTGATGATATAACTCAAACAGAAGCGAATTATTCCATAAAATAAAATAACTTTATGACAACTATGAAGATCCATTATTTTCAATGAAACCTTTTAACCAAGGCAACATTTTCCCGATTGCTCAATGAGTAACTTGGTCAGATAAAAAGAAAAATCAAAATTAACTAGAATAGAAGATAAAGTGACGGAAGGACGTGAAATAAAGATATGCTATTTATCTTACACCAAACTAACTCTCGTCTACATTCCCCACTGCGACCTCAGTCAAATTTACAAATGTATAAGAGAAACTTACATATCGACGATCACTTTGACAACACAAACGTCCGTTTACTTATTGCCCGCCCGAGATGTAAACCCCACTAATACGTTAACCATAAAAATGTTGATGGCAGCTGCAACAACGGCGCTTTAAAAAAAAAAAAAAACAACAACATATAAAACTAAACGCTCACAGTCACAACACCGGCACTGCAAGTCTGTCTCATTAGTAACGAGCACAAGAGCACAGTGTGAATGATTGTTATTTAATGTCAGTATCAAACCAAACTGTTCAAGTTGTGATAACGACGACATAAGGAATAGCTCCAGTCACATTGGAGGATCACTTTAAATAGGACCGGTAAAGGGTCGTGGAACGACACATTTCTTTCTCTTGTTCCAGGAGAAAAAGCAGGTCACGAAAGTTGACACGCTTAAGACGAGGTCGTAGTGGAAGCTGTCGGTTAAATCCAAGACCACCAGCTCCGAGATTACCAATGCCACTTGTGCTGTTTCCAGAAGCAGCACCGAGATCAAGTTTTGGTTTTTTACGTGGTCCGATAGCTTGTAATGCTGTCTGATTAGCTTCGCGTTGGCGTGCCTCCTCCATTTCAACTCTTTGCATCTATAGAGACAAAGATTTTGTTAAAAATGTTTATAAAATGTAGGCGAAAATTTTTTCTGTCAAGTAAAATTTTTTTAATATCCACCTCTTTCGCCTTTGCTTTGAGTTTAGCTTGTTCTGGATCTTCTATTTTCGATCTGCTTTTTGCCACCTTCATCAGAGCTTCCCTTTCTTGTTCTTCGTGTCGCTTACGTTCGACCTTGTCTAATTCTTCCAAGAATTTCAACTGTGACCTCACATCTTGCGTTACTTCGTACCTGGGATCGATCTGCGTAAATCAAGGTTTTCAATAAAGTTACAAGGAATCAATAAAAAAAAAGTGCAAGAGATCATCTTTACTTTATTGAGATCTATCCTGTGTTCCGCTATAATGGCTAATTTTTCAACTAAATTTTTTAGCCTCTCTTGAGCTGCGTGAGATATCAATGAAGCAACCTCTTGGTTAGGTTCTTCTAAACCATAACTAGTCACTAAAATAACACAGATAAACAATAGTTTATTAGTACAAAAATCTTTAATCTTAAAAAAAAAAAAAAAAAAAAAAAAAAAAAAAAAAAAAAAAAAAAAAA